GCGAGGTTTTTTCCAAACACTCTCTGCTTTCATTTCCCTAAATTTGGCCGATTTTTAGGTTTGGATTAATTCTTTAGGCTCATGCGCAGGGGCTATCGTCTTGCTAAAAATTCAAAATATGCCGAGATGTTTGACCTAATGAATGCGATCCATCGCATGCCAGTTCGACCACGTCACTTGAGCTTGACGAATCGCCTCAATGATTTTCAAAAATTATGAATATGAAGAATATGAGCCTTCTCTCAGGAACACGAAAATCACTGGAGTCTCCTCGCAAACGTTGTCAAGAAATTGAATCACGTTCAAAAACCCCACTCGAGAGTTATTACTATACGAGTATTCACGAGGTATCTGGGTCAGTATGACTAACTACCCGGTGATTTACAGTTGAACTCTTTTTCCTCGTCACCAGTTGCGATTCTTGAAACTTGGCAACGTTGTATTTCCATAGGCGGTTCTACGGGGGTGCCAGTGGGTGCCGGGCACCCCCAAGCGAAAATTAAGTACGGTTATTGGAATTGTGAAATTACTGCTTTCAAAGATTCTGTATTCACTCACACTGAGAAAAAATCCCAGCAATTAATTGAAAATGTTTTAAACAGAATTAATATTGATAGCCGTGTTTTACAAAGATTCTACCTACTGGTTTTTTATGGTAAAATTGTAGTTTTGATGGAAAGTTTTTCTAAAAATGTTCTACTTTGAATTTATAGGTATTTAAGTAGAAAGGAAGGAGAGAAAAAGAGAAAGGAGGGTAGGAAAGGGATACTCGTAAAACTTGAGGGCCGAAACTTAGGCCTCTCCTGAGCGACCGTCCCCTTCGGGGCTGGTCTCCGACATTTTCCACCTCTGGGCACCCCCAAGCATGAAGGTCTAGAACCGCCTATGTGTATTTCCTGCATTTAATTGTATGTAAAACAATCTATTCTTAGTGAGGCAACTTGCCTCACCTGAAATCGATATTTTCAATGGATTTAAGTGGAAGAAAAATAGTGTTGCCAACTAAGCGTAGTACCCCGTGGACAAATTCCACTAGAATCAGCCTAACTACGTTTTAAATTGTCTAATTTTATTTCAAGGCAATTATAATTTTATTTTCTTTTTCATTTTTTTCTTAACGGGGAATAACAAACAGAGGCGGATCCAGCAATTTGGCAACACCGAATTTCCTCCATTTAAACCTATACTAAATAATCGATTCTTATCGGAGCACTGGCCCCTCCAAGAATCGATGCTTTTCCATAGGTTTAAATAGAGGAAATCAGATGTTGCCAAATTGCTGGATCCACCAATGATGACGAAACAACGTAACGCCTTAAAAATTTGGTGAATTGGATTATGAGGAATACACTCACGCAATTAAAGTCAGAATGTTAAACGATTTCCTGTCGGGGAAACATACGAGATGGTAATGAGACGAAGTGTCTGATGCAGTTGAGTTGTTTCTGGTTACATGCGCCTATATAGTTTTGTTTTAATCATACACAAGATAATCATATTTTTCCCTTGAACCTTATTCAACTCTTCAGCTGTTTGAATATTTGAAAGTTTAAAATCTTCCCTCCAAGAAAAGAAGGACAACCTAACACCACAATTTGACACCCTTCCAGTTATACCCGTCTTTCTGGCGACAATATTTCTTACAACTTACAATCAACAGAGCAGAAGCTTCCTATCGAGGAGAGAGGAAAAAACAAAAGAAGGAAAAAAAACTGGAAGGCAGTAAAATAATTCCAATCTAATCATTAATTACCAAAGTCGTAAAACGCTAATTTCCTTTGAGAAATCGGAAAGCCGAGTTAATAGGAGCTTCGCTGGCTCTCATAATAATAAAAAATAAGAGCATTTATGAGAAAAAACATGATGATTATAAACGGTTTTAGGTGCTCATCTGAAGGTTAAGTACTGATCCAGTGAAAAAATTAAGTTTTTACACAAAATTGTCTTGCCTAATAGTCAATTGATGCCAAAGTAGTGATTAAAGCAATTAGAAAATTGATTAGTATCATTTGAAAGGAACAAAAATACACAGACACACTCACCGTGGACGGAATGAACCAACTTTTAAAATCCTTCATACCGTCTATTTCATATTCCATAAAGAGGAGGATTATACGTTTTCATTGAGTTTGTGCGGCGTTGGCAAACATTTATGATAATCGCATCTTAAATCAACTGCAACACATTAGGACATGTAGCCGTCAACATGATTTAAAGGAGAAAACAAAATTAAGGATACGTGTTTGTTGCGTCATAACGAAAGCCATTTTGTTAATTTAATTTTTATTCGTCTTTTCCGCCTAAGTTGCGTTTGTATCGAATTTTTCTAATTTAGATAGCAACTGATTGCTGCAAAATTTTTTAGAAAACGTTTGAATTTTCGAAATGTTGAAAAATTATATATGATTTTGACTGTCTATAACACGTATTGCTCCAAGTTCTCTCAAAGGGTCTGAGCTAAATCTGGAAGGAAACGGCGGAACGCGATGGTTAAAGAGTATCAACATTTCTTAATAATAATAATAAACCACGACATACTTGTCAGATTTCTGTCAAATTTTTCAAAAACTAGGGAATCTTCTCCTGAGATAGGAATGGCTTGATGACTATTGGATTAAAACTCTTAAAACGAGCAGCAGGCACACACTTATTAGGGGTTCCGATCGATTCACCGAAGGATTAGACATTTTTGGATGCCTTTTTCAGACAGCAGGACTGTGACAGCTGCAATATTCGAAATTTTAATTACGTCTCTGATCGTACTCTAAAATGCGAGTTGTTAAGAGAGGATTATGAGGATTATGCCAAAGCTGATCCTGAGGTGATTTGACATGAAGAATAGGATGAGGTATGAACGTTTCGCAAAGAGGTGGTAGAGTGTGTGAAGGGGCGTGGAAGCTCAGTTACCTGAGAGTTTCCACCCCTCAAAATATTACTAAGGACATTTTTCAGAAGCAAGTGAGGAAAAAATCCCAGATAGAGTAATACGTTAGACAAAATGACAATTTTTGCGCTCTTGCGAGTTGAGAATCATGGCGCAAAGTCCAAGTCTGGATACAGCGCTATGCCAGCCAGCGCTGAGTGGCCGTGTCATCGTCGAAGTTTGACGCGCCTTCAATTCCAGCTAGCGGCAATATGGCATCACCTGTACTGCTGTACTAAGGAATAACGCCGTATGAACATTTGAGAGTTGCCAAATTTCCCACGATTAAATATGTATTTTTGACGGCATTCATGCATATTTTTCCTTGAAATTTTCAGATATTTTAGATTAAATTCCGTACAAAATTGTCTAAAAATTTACGACAGTAATATTCACAATTTTCCTAGTAATTTCAGTTTTTATCGGAGGAAACTTGGCAAAGTCTGAAGGCTCATACGGCGTTCTTCTTTAGCACGGTAGTGTAGTCGAATAGTTATCTCAAGAATGCCTGCGGTGAACGAATACCTGTCTCCAGTATCGATGGCAACATGCAAAAAAAAAAGTAGACGATTACAACGGTGCACACCTCCACTCATGTTTAATTTTTTTTCAGAACAAGAACAAGAAAAAAAAATGAGATCCTAGCTTTTGAAATTCTGCAAATATTAAGATTCATACTTTTTTCCTTGATTTTGAAAAAAACAGGAAGCGAGTTGTTTACAGGAGAGAAAAATCCGCCCGATTATGCGATCCACGGGTAGCATGATCAGTGAGGAATTTTTTGGGAAAGAGAGGAAATTTTTATCCAGAAGGACATACTCACAAATTTTTTCGGGAAAACTTACGATGATTTATAGTTCTTTCCGGCTTATCGGAAATGTTTCGAGCAAACTTTTAAAGGAGCAAAAAAATTGGAAATATTATTAGAAAATTTATTATTTTTATTATTAGGAAAGTGAGGAAAAAATCTCGAATCGTCGGAAACGACGTTCGGTCCCCAGTTATTCTAATAGTGGGGTGTATAATCCTGGATATTAAAAAGTTTTACAACGTTTTTGTCATTAAAATTTCATGAAACCCAAAACTTCTACTTAATTAGGCTTTACTTTTTATTTTTATTTGTTACGAGTATTTAAGCATGACATCTATTTTTGACCCTCAGGGACCACCATTGCCTCTACAAAAAATTAAAAATGCAGACAAAAAAATTATGCCGGTTTGGGAAATTGGAGGTAGGTGCTTATCTGGACTTACCCTAGAGTTTATCAATATCATAGAATTCGTTCATCTTTATTTTGCATTTTTTGCAGCGGTAAATATCTTTAATCCCCTTCAAGGGCCTATTCTAAAGTTATACTGCTAAGCATTCCTCAAGATTTACGAAACTTGTTCTTTCTAGTACGCTATGTTCACGATCTTTTTTGGCCTATTCTGTCTATCTATCTATTCTGTAGCTTTTGTAAAAACAGAGCCCCAAATGTGTGGCTCAAAATTTTAAAATTTTTGTTACCATTCTTTGAAAACAGCGAACATTGATAAAAATGTGCAGCATTGTGCCACAGAGAATTAGTTCAATTTTGTATAAAACCAAAACGTGCGTTGTTACGAATGAGTGACGGCCGGTGACCACCAACAATGACATCGTGGTGGTGACCGGGATCCGAGAAAAAAGAAAAATGATTTTTATTATGATACGCATATTTAATTTTTATTGTATTTCCGACTGAAAATGGCTCAGTTGTGAGTCGAAACGTCTCGGTTTTTATTAATTGTGTATTTTAGCCCTGCCTCCCGTTTTCCCCCTTGTTTTTCCACTGTTATCATTGTCTCGGGCTGCTCTTAAGAATTTGTATCCTTTTAGCATAAATACGTCCAATTGAAGTAGGAGTTAAAGAGGCGTAAAGGAGCCGAACGGCGCGGCGCGTTGGAGCGGCGGCGTCGGCAGCGTCGGGACGCGAGCGGGTGCTTTCTCCGGAGCGTCGCGACGCGGGTTGGGATACGTAACGTTCCCCCCCCCCCCCCCCCCCAACCCCTACCCTTGGGTCCTGGTCCGCGCGTCCCATTCCGCGGTCTCCGGTCCGGCGTCCACCCGTTCCGCAGTGCCAAGTCCAATCCTCACCCACCAAGAGTCGGAGTCTGGCGGTTGTCTACCATGTGTCAATGTGTATCGTAGTGCTTGTGTCTGGATAACGACGTGTTGTGATTCCCGCGTCAACCCCTCCGCCCGAGATCGGATCCCTTGTGCGCGCCACGAATGCCCGCAGCCCCTCATAGTCATTAACGAGACCCTTTTTTCACGAGGAGGTAAGCACACCCACCCCACCATATTTCTCACCCTGGCAATGGCTCGCACGAAGAAAGAACCACTGTTCAGCCGTGCAACGCAAAAACCCCGTTACGCCGTTTTAAATTTTTTGGAAACGATGTAGCATAGCAGAAAAACTTGTGTACCTTCAAACAATGTTCTTGCAGAAATGTTTCGCAAATACTATCAAGGACTTAACCTGAAAATTTGAGGTGCATGGGTAAAACAGTTTTTATTTTATAAAGTGTTAAGTTCCAAAAAACGCAGAATCTTGGTGGATTTGCGGCGTTCTTGCTTAGCTCGGCAGCGTTTATATCTTTTTTTTTTCACATGAAAAAAACCTAACTACATTGCAAGGGCATGGAGGACAATGCTCGTAAGTGCAGTTTTTGCTATTTTGAAAAATACTCGTTTCAAGTTTCGAAATCACACGGATCCATATGGCCGGAAAAAAGTTCAAACTGACATGCTTAAAAATTGGGTTTTGGGAGCGTGTTTTTCACAGAATGTGCATTGAGACCAGTTTTACTTGAAATCATTGACATCTCATTTTTTTCAAAAACTGCACGTATGTGCCATGTCCTCTAAGCCCATCATTTTAATGCTTCACGATTTCAACTTACACATTTTAATGTTACCGGAAAACTGTTTTTAGTTAAACTGAAAATTTCACTGATTTTTCTCCTGGCTACACACAAAAATCGACAAAATTTTGAACAGGAATGACACTGTCCTATTCTTGTAAAAGTCGACTTATTAAGTCAATTTTGCAACCTTTGAATGGAGTTGCGTTTTTTCATCTTGGAACAACGATATGAAATCCTTAATTTTTTGGTTCGGAAAACCAAAGTTTCTAGTCATCTGAATGTAATTTCGGTTCAGGTAACCAAATTTTTTCGAATTACACTGAGTACTCACTCGTGTTTTTAGTGTTATCGACACTGAAGTGCGGGCCGAAAACTTGAGTGCGCCATATAATTCAAAGTTGAGTCTATGTAACTATCAGTTGTATGAATCATACTCTTACTAAAAAATCCAAGAGAAAACATACAAAAAAGTGCTTAATATCTTACTCTCTTTGATGCCACGATGATAAAAAAAATCATAACATCATACGGAATCGCAAGATTAAAATTCTGATGCAAGATCGAGACCAAATTTTTCTGGTGCACTCAACCAAACTTGGACCGGTTTTGTGTGATGGAGCAAGTCCATTGAAAATTTCAAATTTGCCGCATAACAGTTCATTTCGGTGCAAGTGCACAACTGAAAAATCTCTCTGGGAAGTTTGCTGGATTCGGTTGATCGCTCGAGGGAATGTTTTCATTTTTTTCTCCCACAGGGAATTCGCTCAGCTGTTTGTCAAAATAAAAAGAAATTATCCCCATCCAGACGTCTCAATGCAGTCACGTTGCATAGTTCCATGCAGTCAGAAAAATCTGGCTCTAAAACCAGAATACCAGTGGCCTTTACTATACGTATCGCTGCCCAAAAGTTTGACCGCGGGCCAAAAACACTTATTCATTACCGGAAGTAGGGAAAAATCGGAAACGTGCTGAAACCATGTAGACTCAGCGGGTCGATTGTTGAGTTGTTTATCGAATGATCTTGATCGATAAATCCCTAACTTAGCAATGCTTTATATCGATCATGGTCATTCGATATCAATACATCCCTATCATAGCAATGCTTTTTATCGATCATTTTCATTCGATATCGATGAATCCCTATCTAAGCAATGCTTTTTATCGATCATTGTCATTCGATATCGATAAATCCCTGTCATAGCAATGCTTTTTATCGATCATTGTCATTCTATATCGATAAATCTCTATCTTAGCAATGCTTTTTATTGATCATTTTCATTCGATATCGATGAATCCCTATCTTAGCAATGCTTTTTATCGATCATAGTCATTCGATATCAATATATCCCTATCTTAGCAATGCTTTTTATCGATAAATGTCATTCGATGGCGATGAATCTCTATCTTAGCAATGCTTTCTATCGATCATGGTCATTCGATATCGATAAACCCCTATCTTAGCAATGTTTTCTATCGATCATGATTGTTCGATATCGATTCAACAATCGAGCCGCAATGAACCTCCAGATCAAGACTGTTATAGATAGCCCCCCCCCCCTCTCTCTCTCTCTCTCTCTCTAAAAAGAAATTGGGAAAATGACCTCGAACCTCGATATCCTCACAATGTGGCATTATTTTTTCGCCCTTTTGGATAGCACATACACCTCAGGATGGAGAGTTTGCATGCAAATTTTTTATAGCTTCATCTGAAAGTGCTTAAAGAGCTGATTTCACGGTATTTTTATGATCTTTTTTCTGATACGGGAAATAGCATAAAAATAGATTTAAAAGTGAGAAAATGCACCGCCTGGTGACGTCATCTGGCGGCATTCCCCTCGGCACTAACCTCGTGTTCAGTTTTCTCAGTAGTTTCCACTTGAACACGAAATTCATCAAATTTCAGACACCTGCAAGTTCTCTTTGATGGAGAGGTTAGGTGTGCGTCGGCAACAGGGTTTTCCTCCGTTTAAATTATAAATTGATAAAATTGACAAATTTGATTGTTTCATACATAATACCTACATTTAAATGGAAGAAAAACATTGTTGCCGATTTGCTTGAATCGCCACTGATTCATATATATGAAAATCTGGTTCTGGTCGAACGTAAATTTTTGACCAAGGTTTAGATTCTCATGTTAATATAACACTTATCTCTATAATGAAATCAAATAGGGTTATAATGCTTTCTGCAGAGGATTTTGAATTTTATTGCCTCTAGTTTTTCCTAAGAACGATTCAAGAATTTATCATTGTTGTGTTTTACATACAGTCAATTGACGATGTACATACTGTCTCTAAGTATAAACACTCAGTTTTCGCATTTTAAAAACGGGTTACATTTCGCTGCGAGGAACTACGATTTTTGACTCGACTGCAAAAGCACGTAACTACATGCCAAGCGTGGAATGCTTTACGATATATCGATTGGTCTGTCATTTAAACCCATGAAAAAGGATCGATAAACAGGGTGTTCACAACGGACACCTTAATTATCGATTCTTCACTACAGTTTCAAATGAGGAGATATCGATGATCGATCATTCCCGCCTCGCTACTGCCCTCATTTGGACGTATTTCTATCAAACGGAGCTATGTGCATTGTGACTTGAGCCCTATCATGAACGTATTCTTATGGGTCTCAGGGCTCATGTCTTAATGCACATAGTTCCGTTCGATAGAAATGCGTCCATTTGATCTAAATTATTATGAAGGGAGGTTCTGCATAAGGGGTATGAGGATTATGCTGCATAGGGAAACTAGTGGTCCATATGTTGTTTCTGAAATGAGTAAGAAACAGTAGTTCCCTCTTGCAAATTCCATTTCAAATCAAATAAATTTCTAGTTTCAAATGCAGCACGCAACTGTTGAAGGGAGGTTTTTTACGTCAATTCAGCAACCTTCATGAGAGGCGTCTGACTTTTGAGGTTGCCACTACTTCACTAGAAACCTTATCTCCTGTTTTCAGAATAATTAATATTGCATCATTAGTTCACTATAATTATACCGCCATTCTTGTACATCATTCATGTTTTTGCGGAATCAAATGATTATAATCTATGAGGGAATCAGCTTTGAAATTTTCTATCATTAGATTTCTGTTCGTTTGGGCTTTCTGAATTTTTACTTTTATCATTTCTTTTTCCCCCTCTCTTTCACCACAACCACTGCTTCTTCTTTTCGCGGCTGGATGTGAAGTTGCATATTTTTTTAGGAGAAATGTCTCCCCTCTAATTATTTTATCTTTTATTGAGTTTATAAAAGACATAATCATTTTTTTTTTTATATCACGCCGATACCAAACTTCATCAAGGAAAAAAGTGCAAATTTACTACCCTTGTTTTTGACTCCAGTCGTTTTTTTGCTATTGAGGTATCTGAAACGTTTCAACTGTACAAGGTCAAGCGTTGACCTACATTGCTCTGACGCGAGGTTTCGGTCGAAAAAAATTCATGCGAGTATATCTGACATTTACACCTGCAGCCCCAGAATGTTGATTGTTGAATGGTGAATGTTATGATCGGTAGCTTATGAACCCTCGAAAAGTTTTTGCTTCTTCGGGATGGTAATCGAAATGACATTTATCTCAGAAGTAAATTTTCACCTTGGAAGCAGAAATATTTAATATTCCGGCGATGGAGGCATTTTAATTTGCCGCGAAGAGCTACGATGAGGAATACCAGGCCAGCAGCGCTGCAGCGTGGCCTTCCCGCAGAGTGCGGCACTTTTTGCTGGGAGCTCTCATTCCTCTAAGACAGCAAATTAAACTACGATCCGAAATATCAATTAACTATTAGACTCCTTTCCATGAATGATGCGTCAAATTGATAAACAGCAGTTTTTTCATGTCCAACATGAACGGTCCACGCAGTAATTTTTTTAAAAAGTGGAGGACTTAAAATCGGTCAGTTTTGCTCGTCGCAAACTCGTATTTTAATGGTCGAAGTCTACAGTGCCGTAAAAAAAAGAAAGACACATCTAAACATAAAGTTTTCCCGTTCACTCTGAAATGAGGTATCACTTTTTGGAGTAAAAGCGGTATTGCGGTGTGCGACGTCATCTACCCGAGTAGTGCACTCAATCATTCCTTCTCGGTTTGGCTCATATTTCATTCACAAAAGGCGCCTAAGGAAAATCAGCACCAAACTAGTCCGAAATGGAGAGCATGACCTAAATTTTTTGCAGGTTTACGCGAGAGGAGTGGTAGAACAACCACGAGATACCACAACAGGGCCGGATTAAGGGGGAGGCCACATGGGCCACGGCCCATGGCTGCAAATCTATATAGGGGGCGGCAAATTTTGTGATTTTTTCAATGTAGGTATAAAAAAAATCGAATTAAGAAAAAAAATTACAAACGAGAGACGGCGACAAAATCTCTCATTTCCTGAGAGTATAGTAATTTCTAATTTT